TTTGGTTGGATCTATAAATGTGAGAAGTGATTATATACATATATGTAGAAAAATGAATCAAGAAACCATACTAGCATATTGGAGAAGAAAAAAAACTTAGGAAACTTATGGTTGCAATGTTCTTATTTAATATAATTCATAAAATCTGAATAAGTTAACCTGAAACTTATAGAATTCTTTGCTTTGATCTTGGATGATATGATAACCTTATCAAGTAAATGAAATATATATTATCTTTCTCACACTGATCAAAGGTTGACCTCATCGTATGTCTGTCTGTTTGCTTATGAAACTTACTTGTAAACCATTTGTATTTCTGTGTGTTTGTTTACTGAACTTTCTTTTAAAAAGGTAATGTAATGCTCTTTGCTTACTGAACTTACTTGTAAACCATCATATTATTAGGTGAAACAACCATTTGTAGTAGTGTGTCTCACTTCTATAAAGTAGGGTCAACAACAAACCTGAACATCAGAGTGGACATGGAAAACATAAAAACTGAGAAACTAATTGACTCAGAGGCTTGACATATGCTAGTTGTAAAGTCACAATAAGGATTCTGTGCTTTATCATGATAATAATTTATTTTTTTTGAAACTAAAGTTTCAAGTTTACCTCTTTTTTTTTTTAATGATAACAACTTAACCTTTTTATTTCTTTCGCTAAGAGTTGCCTCATCTAACACCTTAACCTCTAAAGCACATACCGACCCCATCAAAAGCGGGATTGAGGGCATATTTTATTGATTACATATTCTATAAAGTTGTCCAACAAGCTTACTTGGAGCTCTTCCATTTAAAAGCCCCCTCCCCCCCCCCCCCCCACACACACACGCACACTAATGACCATTGAATAGTTTATGGAAATATGAACCAAGTGCAGACAACTTGTTGAGGGGTATTCCAAACTATACTCAGACGTCGTTCCCAAACAAGGTTACCTTGCAGTTAAGAGAGAGATGAAGCTCCCTCAAAAGGGCATGTTTTGCTTACCTTGACGGGTGAAGTGATGTGCTTTAGAGATCCTCTCTTTAGACGATGAAGTGCAAAGGCGTAAAATCATCTATAAAGAAGCGATTTCTTTTTTTTAGTAATCTAACTTTAAAAGGGGGAAAAGGAGAGGAGGAAATATAGGGCCTTTTTGCTATTTGAGTGTTAGGACTCCTTTCCATTTACATTTCAGCATTCTCTTGTCGTCAGTGTCTTTCTTTTCTTCTAGTATATGTCACGCCTTTTCATCAACTATTATTTTTGTTACAAGTAATTATAGATTTTGTAGATGAACTTGCACTACGCCCGTGCATAATTACTTCTTCTACTATTATGTTTCTCTGCTACTTTTGATTTATTTCTTTCTTCTTATATTTTCTCTTTTAGCTACTGTTTCTTCTTCTAGTATATGAGTTCTCTTCCTTTTCTTTTGCCACTTCTGATTCTGAGCTACAAAATGATTCTTTTTCCGATCAATCGAAATTAATGAATCCGGAATTTTAGTTGCAAGTTGACTTTATAAGTAATAAATTCACAAGTATTTTTGTATTTGGGTAAATTATACACTTCATCTTGGAAAAATATGGGTTTTGCCTCTCACTTTTCGCTTAAAGCCTTGAGTGCCTTGTCGTTTCTGAGTCAGTTCTTGCAGATACAATTCTTTGTATAATCTTATAGACTAGCCTTCCTTCTTGTGATTCCATTTTCTTTCTATCCAGGCTGCAATGTTGGCCCAAAAGAACTCTGAGGCCACTCGAGCATTGGCATTGCAAGGCGAGCGTCTGGAGAAGGAGCTTGGTGAAGTACAAAAGGTTCTGCTGGCAATGCAGGTAAACTGTTGTTTAACTACTATTCCAAGATTCACGTGCTTATTCCAATTTCCAAGGGGCATTGTATTTTACAGGAAAGTTTTCTGTGGTGGATTTACATCTTCAAGATGATAAAAGAATGCTTCCGTCAGACAATTCTTTTTTTAGGTTGTGTCTAGCATAAGATGTGAGGGTTTACTTTAAGGTCCATTTTACATCTCCATTTTTGGCTGATTCTAAAGGTTAACCCATTTAGATGCAACTCATGATATGTTCAACACAGTATTGTGCATGATGATTGTTAAGTTGTCCCGCATCGGTTGTGAGATGTGGATTTTGGTCTATGAAAATCCTCACAGCTAGCTTTTGAGGTTGAATTAGGTTGAATATCAATTTCTTTACATGGTATCGAGGCAGACCCTCTTAACCCTTGATTTACTCGATGTTGAGCCCCCATATTATGTTGTCCATGCTCTAGTTGGCCATCCTGGGCATGTGGGGGTGTTAAGTTGTCCTACATTGGTTGTGGGGTGTAAATTTGGTCTATTTGGTCTTGGGAAGTCCTCACTTCATGTGCTAGCTTTTAGGATTGAGTTAGTCCAAGGTTCATTTCTCTACCTATTTAAGTTTGTGTCCGTCTCATCTAAAAGTTGAAACTGTTAGTAAGAGCACACTTTGAAATAGTTTTTTTTTTTAAAATGGAAGCACTCTTTTAATTACTTAATTTATATTATGTGTCAACACGCCTTCTCACGCGTGGGCTTGATTCTTTTTCCTAAGCCAAACACGTGAAACATTTTTCTTTTTGCCTTTAATTTGGGTGGCGTTGAAATTTGAAACCAAGACCTCTGTCTTCTCTAGTCCATGTTGAAGTTTATGACCATCTCATCTAAAAGTTCAAGCTATTAGAGAGAGCACACTTTTAATTACTTAATAAATATTATATCTCAACCGTGGGTCTTAGTATAGTAGTTGGGTTGGTAACTATGATATTGATTGAACTGATCTATGGTGAAGGTGTGTCGTTGACATAATAAACAGGAAAGATAAAGAAGAAAACTTGAGCAACAAAAGAGAAGTATAGTTGCTCAAAGATCTTCCAGAAACGCACCTAAGTAGGTGTAGATTTCCATTGCACGCAGAATCTCAATCCAAACCAGAAAAGGTCATCTGTTCATAGTTTTGCTTAAAATATGGAATAATATGTTTAGAGTCGTGTAGGAAAATATTGGAATGGAAGGTTTCCCATTCATTGTTTGACTTGCAAAGTTTAATTAAAATTGTATCATTTTTCTCTTATCTCCTTGTGTTATCCATCTTCCTTCTGTTCCTGGATAATTTTTCTGATAATTTGATCTAAGTCTTTTATTCGATAGAAGAATACAAGCGCTATTGAAGAAAGTTTTCATTTCTTGACTCCTTTTGGATTATTAAGATATTATGATTGAAAGTTGATATTAGTTAGGAATATCAAAGGTGCAAGGGAATATGTTCTAGCATAGCCAACCAATATGATATCTGTTCATTGCAGTTGTATAATTAAAAATGAAATGAGATTTCAGATAGATCTTGCTTTTATTTCCTTCTCTCTTTGTTTCTCGTTTCATATTAGTCGTTATTATTAGTTTATTTTATTGTTGTAGTTACTGTTGGGAAAGTGAGTGAAATCGGAAAAGGAGAGTTGAGTCCCTTATTTTAAATATGATACCAAACACGATGGAGAGGGTCAAAGCAATAAGCATGGAGTGTTAATGACCATAATTTCAACTTTGTTCTTGATAGCTTTTTAAAATGACATCTTGAGCATGGACATGGTGCGACTTCAGCTTCCCTAGGTCATACATAACCTTAGATAGGAGGGTATGGAGGTCGCATATTGGGGTAGAAAGTTGGTAGGTAGTGGAACGTTGTCTTGGTTTTCAATGGGATTAGCCTTGGTGCTAGTCTGGAGTACCGTATCTGTCGTAGTATTAGCCTTATCATGTAGTTTCTTGCTTTTGTTATCTGTTATCCTCTGTCATTTATTAGGTTTCGGTGATCACACTATTTTGCTGATGTTACTGTTCCTTCCTGAATGCACCGCTTTCCTATTAATCACCATGTTCACTATTGTTATCTACTCCATATACAGGACCAGCAACACAAACAGCTTGAATTAATTCTTGCAATTGGGAAAACTGGAAAGTTGTTTGAGAACAAGCGCGGACCTAGTCAAGATCCAAATCAAAAAACAAATGACATGTCTAATACAGCCGCGGATGGATTTCCACAGTTGGGAGTGAATCAAATCCAAGCTTTGAAGAGACAGACAGCGGAAAACCAATAATGACAGAATCTAGTTTCTTTCAGTATAGACCAGTAAGATTTCTTTAAACGACGAAAGGGTTGATATGCATGGTCTCATACTTATATGCTTGAAGATTGACAGATATTTGAGGAATCATATATCCTTGTGCAGATTCTTTTCTCCTGGTTTTGTTTTTAGCTATATCGCTGTAGGGAGGGAGAGGAGAAAGGTGAAACTCGATGTTCTTGTTCACGTTTATTTGACAACGAAACTCTGTGTATTAAGAAACACAATCAATCATTCCATCTCCTGTAGCTGCAATGCTTGCTAAAGCGTCATTGTTGTCAAATTTTGTTCTCCAAGTGCTATTTTCTTTTGTTTATGCAAACCTGTGCAGGAAATGGAGAAAAGTCTATTTATTTTCTGGAATTACAATGCCAGAGCATTCCTTTTCAACAAACGCTTTGCCATGCTTTCTTTAGTATTTTGTCGCTTCTTCACTCCGTTTTTTTTTATTTCTCGAACTGCTTTTACTTGAATCGAGAGTGTATTAAGAATCAATCTCTACCTGCCAAGCGATGGGTAATTGATTATTACTATAAGTAGAAGTTATTGAAAATATGAAGTGATTCAACTCTTTTAACATACTAACGTATGGTAAATCAGCATTGAAGTTCGATTAATAAAACTCATTAATATTTGAAGGAGTCGAAATATGTTTACTTTTGATTTTTGACAAACTTAAAAATAAAAAAATTGCTCAAAATATTACATATTGCAATTGAACATTTGAACACATAATTTAAGTATTCCACTTAGACAAATATATATAAAAAAAAATAAAATTTTAAAATACGTTACGTAATTCAAATATCTAAATAAAATATAGTTATAAAGCCATTTACGATTATTAAACATATTCATCGAAACCAATACTCGTTCCCGTGCTTCTGTGTTGGAGCTGCCATAAACCAGAAGGGTGAAGAAGACGAAGACAGCAAATATCTTAAGAGTAACCCCAAAAGAATGGATGGATTGAGGAAGCTAGAAAATGTACAGAAAATTATACAAATGATGGGGTCTCACGGTATCATTAGTTCTTCTAGCAACACCCATAATGCCAGCTCTCTTCGTTTTCTTGCAGATGTAGTCCTTCTTTTGGTAAATTTTCGTTCTTTTTTGATACTTGAATTAGTTTTAGGCTCAATTTTCAGTATCTGCGTATTTATTTTTTGTATGGGGATGGAAGTTGTTTGAATGAAGTGGAATGGGTATAGAGAATTGAAATAGTCGACCCCCAATTTGTTCGGGATTGAGGCGTTGTTGTTAGAATCAAGATTGATGTGGGTTTTGATGCTTGCTGAAAATTAGTGGCAGTAATGAAAAACTGAAACAGGAATTTTTCAGTGTGTATGTGGTTCCTCAGTTTTAATTTGATCGTCTTAATTTCCTTTTTAGTCCGTTCTAAAAAGAATGTATCTTTCTATGTTTTAGTAACTCTTTACTTTCAACTTTACATGACCATAAGATTTGTAAGTATTCTTTATTTTCTTAAACTTTATGCCAAGTCAAAATCTAGACAAGCAAATTGGAATGGAGGGAGTACGTATTTTCTTGTATTAGCATGAAACTTGTCCAAATGAAGTGGAATGGATATAGAGAATTAAAACAACTTATTCCAATTAGTGTGGGATTGAGGCGGTTGTCATTAGGAGTAGGAACAAGATTGATGTGTTTTTGTGACATGCTGACAATTAGTAACAGTAACAAAAACTGAAAAAGGAAATTGGGAGTTGCAAACTGAATAAAGAAAGGATCTTTGATGTGGTTATTTTGTACTGACTTGATGATTTCTACACCCTCTCAGTGTTCTTGTAAAAACCATTTTATTCACTTCCTTATAGGACCACCAAAGCAGGCTCCTTTAGCTAAGTGTTACTTTACTAATTTAATATCAAGTAAAGGGAACTAATGTCTAAAACCTCCTGTTTTTCAGGGAGATCATTTCTTCTACAGCTAGATATTAAGTTATAGCAGGTCTAAGTAACCTCCAATAGCTTCAGCTCTTCTAGTGAAAATCTTTGTCACAATTTGAGTTCCTGCCTTTAGTGAGACTTTCTTAGCTTGTTAAACTCTTTCTCCTTCACCAAGAAAGTTATCTAGCTAGCCAAGATAGTTGTATGTTGCTTATTGTCCATTTGAGGCCATTTCATAGAGAAGAGCAATGAGGTTTGGGTTCCGTTTTAGCTGCACAGAGAGTGACCCTATATATTCTTCCCCCATATGTGGCTAACTCGGAAGCTATGATTGATTATTATTGACTTTGTAACTCTTCAGCAGAAGAGTGCTGTTGTACGCGGTTTGTAAGCTACCAAATCATTATGGAGCTAGGATAACTGATACATACTCAAATCAATTCAAGATGTAGGTAGTGATAATTACCGTCTGGGGGAGGAATATGAAGACTCTGAAGGCGAATACTAATTACTTCTCATCCTATAACCCTAAAGAACTGAAGAAGGGTTAAACAACGAGCCACCTTCATTTTAATACCTTCAGATATACTTCAGGGTTGATTATTTGGCGGTACAGTCGATTGGTTGTGTTTCTCTTTTCTTTGATCCTTTATTCTGATTTTGAATTGCTTGGTATATATGGGTATTGCTACATCAGGATGTACACTAAGAGTTGTTCTCTACTTTCTAGTCACTTTCTAATATTTTTCATATATCACTGAAGGTATCGCGATGCTGTGAACTTGACATTGGTGCCAAGTGCCAATTGATTATTGACCATGTGCCAAAGGTTTGCATCGAAATTTAGAAGCTCTTTCAATTGTGTGAGAGGCTGCAATGAACATACATGTTGTTTCTTTGGCAGTTTTCACATGCTTTCCTGGAGGAAGCATTGCAGTGTGCTAGTGAGCAAGGTGTGTTCTACAGAAGTGATGTTATTCTTCTCTGCGTTTCCTCCCTTGAGATTTGGTTCCATTTATTTGTGTAATGGATTCTTCCTTGGAATTTTGATGAAGGACTTGTATTAACTAGGTTTGAAACTTACTGATCCAAAAAGCAAAAAAGAAAAAAAGAAAAAAAAGAAAAAAGAAAAAAAGAGGGAGTTCAAAAGATCTGATCATTGTGTTTCCGTCTTAAATGATGTATTTTATGGAAATGTGGTGGGCTTTTGATGCCTTTTCCTTGGTGATCTGCCACACAACATGACACATATCTTGTTCAAATTTGGGATTAGTTTGTTATTTTATTTGCGTACAATTTCCAGGTGCTACTAGTACATGTCAATCTTTGACCTTCCCCTTACATCTGTATCTATTGCTCTCTTTCTCCCCATAATTTCTCAAAAAGTTGGTCATGTCTTACAGACGTATGAGGTTTCTATCGTGGTTGATTTATGATAAACCTACAGTAAAAACTCACTAGTGAAACGAGCACAAATGAGAAAACGTAGTGGGAATTGGGAGACGGGGTTGCCAAATACTTTGAAACTTGATGAGCCAAAATACCACAAGCTTGTCATATCAGCTGGAGGCATTTCAGAAGTATTAAAAATATATGAGATTGTCCAGTTCCCCTATATTCATGTGAGATGTGTATAGTCTTTCCTGGAATAGCTTGCTTTTTGTTTTACTTGAGCAGAGGGAATTAGCTTGTTTCCACCTTCAACTTCTTGCAGGTGTTGAACAAAAGGTAAATACCGGTCCACTTGATTGTGGTGATAAGATTATACCGGATCCATCTAAAATGGGTTCCGAGGATATGCCAATGATTGGGCTTGATGCTATGCAACGAGCTAATTCTACTTTAGAAGATTTTGTGAGTATTTGTTTTCCCTATTGATCTCAAATTGCTGTTTATCATACCATTTCTGGTCTCTGGACATGTCTCTGTATATTGCTGGCAAACAACACAAGAGTCTGAAGATTAAATTCGCAACAGGTTTTTGCTGTCTTGTTTGTATGTTGGGGAAATCAGCGTAGTCAGCTTGTAGGCAAGTTGATATTCGATTATCGAGTGAACATCTCATTAATCTAGGACTAATTAGTTTGCATGTTGGAGCATCTTCTTTTTTGATTCACATTACTCCACTACTTATGATGTCGTATCGATTGTACTTCTCATCTCTGAACAAGTTATGCTGCTTAGGATAAGATAGGGTGATTTGGTAGTTTTCAAACTCATTTATGTTACTATCTTCATTTTAGTAATAAAAAGGTGAACAAATGAAAAGATGGCGGCTTTAACTGTGGTGCATGTTGGGTTGGTGAACAGGATAAAGCAAATGGGTCCTCATCAAATAAATATTTGTCCTATTTGTGGTAAATGCCTGATGGGACTCTAGGTGAAGGATATCATCTTACTAATTATCCTACATTCATATTGGCTACAATGGGACAAAGATTGATAAAGACAGCTGACTAAAATATCCCAGGCATTAATGTTGAATTGGAGGTATTGTATGAAGCTTGCTGGAAAAAATGGAGTGCTGATGTATATATCATTATCAAGGATAAATAAAACCAGTAAAATGTTACCTTTCTAAGAAAAATGAGTGCTGACATATATATCATTATCAAGGATAAGTACTAATTAATTCTTATTCTAATCAAGAATAACCTTTTACCACATCTGATAAGAACTGTTCCAAAAAGAAAATTAAGTATGAAAATGTAGAATATATCATTCATCTGGTCCTGCACTTTTACATCCATAGGCAGGATGACTGCTGTTCATCCTGATGCCTTCACATTTCTTAACCAAAGGAGCACTTGACCCTTACCCTGTAAGCTATTATTGATAATCCAACAAACTGGCTTCCTGCATTGGTGACTACCTTTTTAAGCATATATTGAAGGCAATTTCTCTTCTTTCTTTGTGCTAGATCCTTCTAGCTTGGAATAACTTAAGAATGATCTTATGTTCTTAACCTTAATAATACCTGCCGCAGGTCTTTTATCCCCTTCTAGCTTGTAAGAACTGAGAATGGTGTAATGTTCTTAACCACTATAATTCTTAAGTCTCACTCTTGAGTTAAGCTTTTATGTTTCTATCGGTAAATTTGGCTTAATTTCTCAAACATCTTGTTGTAAATTAATCCATTGCCCTTGCTCTGAAATCATATTGGAAAATTATGCATGTCTCCTGACTTGCAAGACTGGGTTATTTTCTCTCTAACACCATGCATCAAATTATTGATGTTGGCCGACCAAATTTTCTGTTTTTTTATTGGTCTAGGACCTTGTAGAAATAATAAGCTGATGTTGGTTTCATGTGCCAGTGCAGGTCTTATTTTATGTTTCACAAAATGGATCCTCACCAACCTCAGTCTATGTTCAGATACCTACCGATACTTTCATTTACTGAAAGTTACATTTATCAGGTAAGATTGACAGTCTGCTGATCATTTTGGGTTGAAGCATTTCAATAAAATCTTGTTGCACGTTGACACATCATGGAGTTTTGTTAAAAAAAACGCATCGCTCTCGACAGGAGATACTTTCCTTATTCACAACCGTGACTTCTTTCCTCTGCTGTTCACTCCTTTTTCTCCCCCTTTGCTTTGTTTGGGTAAAAAGGACACTACAGGGTAAACGATTATTTCTTCCCCCTTGGTTAGGTAAGAAGAGAAACACCCCAACCTATTTCTAATTCGTATATCTTTATTGATGCAGTTGGATAATTTAAATGAGAAACTGTTGCAGCCATCAGTGGGGAAGGACCAATCATCATATCGTGAATACAGTGTGGTAGTACTACAGGCACATAAGATTCTCATGAATAATTTTAGGAGCATTTGAGTTATTACTTGCTTATAGTTGAATCCAATTCCTTATTTCTGTGTGTTTTATTATGTGCAGGAAGAAAGCTGGGAGCTTACATATGTGAGAATGATGACCAATGATCCGTTTAGACCTCTTTCTATTTTACTTCAGCAGCATGGGCTTTTGACAGACAGGTCTAACTTCATATAGCTATTTTCCTTTTCATCCTTTTCCATTCTGTTTGTGAAGCTCCAAACCATGCTTGAATTATTTATCTCCTTAGGAATATTTTAATAAGAACTTTGCTTACTTCACTTACACTGACAACTTCTCCAGAGAATCTTTTGAAGACCATTTCACTCATAGAATATCTTTCTGACTTCTTTCTTGTACCGTTGGCTTTGTGACATCCATTGTACTGTTTACATCTTCTTTTCATTTCTTTTTATCATTTAGTAAGTCATTTTTCTACCTTTCTTATTCACTCGTGTAGTCCTCCCTATAGAAAGTTTAGAAGAAGGTAATTGCACAGGAATGACAAAAGAAAGAGGGCAGAACCTGTCTACAACACATCTTCTTTTTTCTCTCTTCTCGTTTTTCTTTGCCTCATTTTGTGTATATTCTCTTTGAAGTTTGATTTCTGTTTTTGTGCTAAAGGTAGTTCTTTTCTAAGGTAAAATACTCTATAGATACTTTGCTGGTCAACTTTCCATGGCGTGAGTTGGTTCTTATGCTGTGACCTTTAAGTGTTTATTCACTTTGTTCAGGGTAAGAGAAGAGTTTAGTGGTGGAGTAGAATATTGGTCTCTGGAGAGAAAGCTGTGTCATGCACTTGGGATTAAACGAGAGGTATTGATTCCTTATGCTGAACAAATGGATCAAATTCTCACAAGTTTCTTATCTACTATTCCTTTCTGATTAAGATTTATCGGGGGATAGTCTTCTTGAATCTAATTATTCCAATTCCATGAACCTCTTGCAATCATTAATTGTGGTCTTTTCTTCACTTCATCGTTATTAGGTTGTGAATCAGAGTAATAATTCTAACCTATGCATGAATTAGGGCGTCAAAGTAATCCTTTGAACAACATATACAGTATACAGACTCATTGTCAGATCCATGCTGTATAAAATTACCTTCATGGATTCTAGCATATTGTCGGCGAAGTTCTATCTAGAATCTATGTAATCCAAAGCTGAAAATTTATGGGATAGATTTTGTCGTCATGATCTTTTCATGTGTTTCGGGAAGTTAAAAAAAGCTTCAGACTTTCAGTTACTAGATTACTTAAAACTAAAATCTTGTAGTGCCTTAAATACGTATATTTGATTTTTATGTAGCAAGATTAGCTATGAGTTATAATCTTTCCTTTAAACCTGTGATTCATGTCCTATCTAGCCCCCATCTTATTTCCATGGATTGTTTTGATCAATGATTCTGTGAACAGATTTCAGTTGAAGATGTCATGAAGGCAATTCATCTGAAGTCCTTTGATTACCGGGTGCTGAATCTTCTGTTGTATCAACTGAGAGGTGAAAAGGTATACCTCATTAGGAAGTAGTGGTCATCGGTTTCTTTAACGCTTTGCTTTGAGTAGAAACTTCGTGATATCTTTATCTTTGAAATGTAAAGTCAGCTGAATTTTCCTTCTCTATTATGGTTTATAATATATCATTTTCATATCAAACTATTGGTTCTTGAGATGACAACAACATACCCTATGTAATCCCACAATTTGATTTCATGCGTATTATTTCCCAATATAATTTTCTTAATGATAAGTTGACAATGCTTTTAGTCATATGCGTTAATTGTTTTATGTTGTGATTCTTTGTTCATGTGTTCCTTCTGAAACTGTTCTGTAGGTCAATGATATTCATATGGAATTTTTGAAGATATCGGAGTTCCTTGTGGAGATATCCGATGACTTGTAAATATCCGTTAAATTATGATAATTACCTCTATTCTGATAGAGAAAAGTTTTTGTGCTTCCCAATTAATGCGGGTTCTTTGGTTTTCTTGATGTGATAAATCTGGATGACCTTAAATGACCGGATGATGCCAGGTTTGACTATGAGGTGAATCATTTAATTTTGATGGTTTTTTTACCCTCTTAAGTCATTCATGTGGGAAGATGAATTATTCCTTTTTATATTTCATAGGACGATGTGTTAGAGAATAGTTTCAATATTCTGCGCATGTTCAACGGAATTTATGGGGCTTCTACAGCACCAACCATGCTGGTAAGTAATCGTGTTTGTTCTGACAAATGCTATGAACATGGGCCGGTTTGAGTCTTCAAAAAAAAAAAAGTTTTGGAGTTTCTGTTCCTTCTATAGGGACTTCAATGTCCACGACTGGTTCGTGAAGAGTGCATTTGGGATGTTGTTATCGATCACATATTCTTGTATTTCCTTCAATCAAAACATCTACTTGTCAAGTATTTAGGAGAGTCGGGGACATTTGACCAATTTAGTTTTTGAAACGTCGGATTAAATCTTCCAAGGGGATGTTAACAGATTTAACCATACTGCAACAAAATGTTGCTATAAGTACTTGAACCGGGAAAGAAAGAATGCTCGAGATTTGTTTTTTCTCAATGTAGAAGCTAACTGAAGCGAATTCCAGGCAAAAGTTATAACTGAAGCTGAAGAGAAGTATGATAGTCTTTTGAAAGCTCTCGATCCCGTGCTCTCTCTGAAGTATCAGAAGAGATGTGAAGAAGCTACTAAAGAAGGTAATATTTCCTCCCATTAATTTTTAACGAGTCCTTGAACTATTTGACCCTTGACCTATGATCTTTATTATCAAGATTTTGCCAAATTTTAACTGGATTCCTTTGATTATTAGGCGGGAAGACGTCAGGTCCATCTCTTGGAACATGGAGTATACCTTCTGTTATTGAAGACGAGGAACTATATCGATCTGATGTTTTGAATTCGAAGCCATCACAAAATACTTGACAGCAGTCCATCCCTACCAGCCAGAAACCACAATAATGGCAGCTGAAACAACGTAAATCTGCATAAACGAAAACAAAATAAGACCTCATAGAGGTCAGCATCTAATCCTCCTCTATAGGCTCGCTTCTGATTAGCTAGTTGGGTAGTATTATTCAAGATTGCTACTTTAATGTTCTACAACTAAACAACAATAAATCTAGTGTAATCCTACGAGTGAGGCTTTATGTTCTACACCTCTTTATTAAAAGAGAAAAAAACACTAGGTCATTTCTTCCTCCCTTCTGCCTAAGCCTTGGCGACGGATTCACCAAGTACCTGTACTAGTGGAAGGTAACATGTACTCCATAGAATAGTCGTGGTGCACGACAAACTAGTCTGAACACCACCATCACTAGAAAAAAAAGTTTATGTTTGTTTATCAAAAAAGGTGAAAAGATTTCTTCTTCATGTTCTAAAACCAGGAGTTATGGTATTTTGAACAATTCTTGCATTGTTGTACATTATTTATTTCGTTGTGTTGGACACAGATTATGGTAGAAGGTCACAAAATGCTTTGTCTTGCTTTACCATGGTTTCTTCACTTCCGATTTTTCCTTTTCTGAACTGCTTTGATTTCCTAAGATAAGGGTTAAAGTCTGTGTTCACTCTACCCTCCCGAGACCCCTCTTACGGAACTACACTGGATATGTTATTATCGTTGTACATTATTTATTTGGATTTGGGAACAAATGATAATATCCACTGGTGCTGGTGTAAAAATGAGGACACTCAACATGTGAGTGAAGATGTAAAATTTATGTTTGTATGCAAAATATTCTTTGAAGATCTGACATGAATTGGCATTTTATCAAAAAAGCATCTTCAGACTCTTAACCTACAGCTTCTGCTACACACACTGCAATTGTAATAAGCCAAGAAAGAAAAACCAAATGTATTGAAACAAATCTTTTTTCTTTTTTTTTTTGGTGTGGGGTTTTTAAATTATTGTCTTTTTCTTGAGTATGAGTCAATTATAAGGAATCTTTTTTTTTTTTCACTTTTTTCTAACATGGGGTGGCCATACATTTCTGTAAAATTTCTGTTTTTTTGTTTGACTTCTATGTGTGATGACAATAATTCAATACAATTGGACAAATGGTTTCACATTTTCGTAGGTTTATTCACTTTTCTAGATGGTTTATTTTATTATTTTTGTTTCTATTTGGTGTTCGATACTTGCATTGAGGTCGATTGAATTTGAATTTATACTGAAAAGGTACACGATGGTGGGTTTAAACTTGAGATTTATGACTAAAGATGGAGTACTTACCGCTTCGTTTTGTTGGGGAGAGGGGGGGGGGGGTATAGAAACTTATTGATATTTCTTTTCGAGAAAGCAAATCGACCTCGATTCTTGAATAATTCACAATTACTTTTATGGCTCTTTGTAATGACTAATTTAGAAAAATCTGACTATGGTTTCATATTTACATTGGTTTATTCACTTCTTCTAGACTGGTTTATTTTATTTTATTTTTTTTCCATCCAGTGTTCGCATTGAAGTCGATTAAATTTGAATTAGGGTTCGTGATGGTAAGTTTCACAATGGATGTAAAAACATTTTTTGACAAACAATTTCATATTCAAGATTTAAGCTCGACTATTCTAGATATCTTATTAAAGATAAAGTATTTAGCTCGAGAAATTGGTTAGAATTTCGAAAAAATTTATTTGATAATTCTTTTTTCGTAGCAAATCGACCTCGATTTTTGAATAATTCACGTCACTTCAATTGGACCACAAAGATTCCAATTTTCTATAGAAAAGACATGTATCAATAATTCTGATTTTAGGATAGGACAATTCCTTAGTATCTAATTAATTTATTATAGAACTTTTAGTACACGATGATTAAAAAAAGAGATTTTTTTTCCTTTCAAAATCTAATCTATTTTGTAATGATTTACTTTGATCTATTGAAAATAACCGTTTGAGATACGCATTATTCACATCAAATGACAAATAAAGTAAAATTATAATATATGATGGAAATAAATAATAAATGCATTTCTATAAAGAGATTGTTGTTTAAAGAGATTTTCAAATTAAAATATGAAAACAAATAAAAGTCATTGTTGGCCATTCATGTCAATTAATCATAAAGGGCATTTTACATTTCTATATTTGCCAAAATTTATTAATAATTTAGAAATATGGTTCATTTCATGTAATATTTGTTTTATTTTTGGCCTTAAAAATCTTTATTTAGCAAAACAAAATTTCTCCCTCCATAAAAATTATTGACCTATAGTTTCTGTTTTAATCTGTCCTATACATTATCATATTAATTGTAAATTAAATTATTATAATAGTACAGAGAAAGCATTTCAAGATTCATATAGTTCGAGATAAAAAAAATTATTAGGTCATTCTTTTCTTTAATTAAAATAATCGTAATATACACGTCAGTTTATGTGTATCTCGACAGTTAACATTGATGATTAGAAGTGCAAGCGTTAATAGACATATCTGATACTTATGCTAACGAAAGAAAAGCAAATGCTCAACGAAATAAATAAAATGTGTGTAAATTGATTCGAACGCGATCGGAATAAAAATGACACCAGAGGAGGAGATAAGTGGCATAAATAAGAGAATAAAGTGAGTTTAAGAATCAATTGGGATAATATGATAGTTACATTCGATTCCCAAATGTAGAAAATTCCTTTTTTCCATCCAAAAAGAAATCCAATTTTTTCTTTTATTCCCTTTCCATCAATCACTAATTATTATAAGATCAACAAAAATATTATTTATCAATCAATAATTAACCATGTCTTAATCCTAAAATATTTTTCTATTCAAATTTTTGCTTTAATCATAGCTAAATAATATTTACATTAATCGTCAACTTTTACAGGGTTAAGTCACAAGTTCCAACTTTACATCAAACTAGAAAATGATAAAGGGTCGTATTCATCATTTTCAGGGTTTTAAAAACTACGACGAATTTCTCGATCATCGAAAAAGTGTTATTACCGTAATAAAATGTTAGAAAACATAAAGTCAAGCTAAGATGTAAGATGTTTTGTGGTCCATTTAAGTAAACATATATTTTTAAAAAGTAGACATGCTTTTTTTTTTTTTTTAACACAAAGTCAATTGTATTATTTTTAATGTTTGTCCTTATATGTCACATTTGAGGGCCCATGAAAATAACTTAAAGATATCAAATATTTTGTTGGGATTTTTGGCTTTAAGTTCACTCTTTCACTTTGGTCAATTTTTTGCTTTTTTTTTCTTGGTGGAATTGGGAGGAAAAATTCTATCTAAATTATAATATTTTCTTTTACTATATACCAAAGTTAGATTTTAACTTTCTCTATGTTTTCCTTTTGGTGTTGGGATTAGTTGAGAAACCACTTTTTTTCCTTTTGTTTTCTTTTTACCAAACTCAAAATAGTCTTCTTTTTAAGTGCTTTATTTCCTCATCAAGTGTCATTGAGATTTTTGGTCCCAAAGCAAGGTACTTTTGGGCTAGATATTGCTCGAACACTCGAAAAATGTTTGTTGCACACATGGTTCGAAGCATACCCTTAGCCAAATTCTTGACTTCAATGCACTGTTTTTGAAAGATCTGACATATTTATCGATATTTTCGAAAAGTCTGAGCAACGTATCTATTGGCCCAAGTTAATGATAGTTGAGAATACTTCATTCAAGCTTTTTTTTTCATTTTCTACAATTAGTTGTAGGCATTGGTGAGGAATGGATGAACTTCAAACATAGGTAAAAAAAATGGAGTTATGACATTGAAATTGTGATATTCAATGTACACATATAATAGAACAAGGAAGATCGATAGCAGAACACCTTGCAACGTATGAAAGTAACATGAGTTTAACGATAGCTTCCCATACGTAAAATGTATGGAACAACTCGAGACAATCCTGATGAGTGTTCACCTAAGATCGCCTTGATAAGGCGTTAAAAGTTATGGTTAACACAACAAAGAGAAAGCTGGGAAGTACATAGTTAGCTCAATCTATTGATACAATGACAATTTTTTATTATATGATTCCGGGGAGTACATATAACCAGAGGATGAACACAGAAATCACATTTACATCTTAGAAAGCAAGCAGACTTTCATTTCGATAGTAGTATAAGCAGAGTCATTAGCAGATACAAGATATAGTATACGAAAAACTTCTGGAAATTGAATTAGAACGTAGTTCAATATCAAACCTCAAGGAGATTGGGGCCAATCATATCCAGCATCCACGGCATTTAAGTCATCGTAGAACCACATTTCCACATCCTCTACATGTTCCTCGTCTTCCCAGTAGTCATCAGACATCTCATCATCGTCAAAGTCATCATCAATGTCACCTGCCACAAAGTCCCATGGTATATAACCAGAAGAACCTGAATAGTCCGAGCAGTTGTCCCAGCCATTCTTATCATAGCAATCCACGACAACAGGTCCGACAACCTTTAGCTTATTGAATTTCTTGACAAAGTTCTCATCAAGGTTCACATTCCAACAACCCCTTACGTCTAACAGCTCGAGCTGCCTGCAGTTTTGAAGAACCTCTGATATGCTCAATGTACCAACCAGCATGTAAGCAATTTCCAGTTGTTTGAGCTTAGGCATCGATGTAGCAATTGCAAGGGCTTCATCATCTTGTGAGAGCTTGTCGATAACCTCGAGTGGGTGCATAGTTCGACGCAAACCAGTCAGATATTTACAATGCTTCCCAATGGCTTCCAGGGCTCTTGCACCTATTTTTATGCAGTAGCTTACATCCAAAAATGTAATGTTGGAAAATGTTCCTGCAACTTGTTCCACTACGGAGTCGCTTAATTCACACTTTGGTAACCGCAATGTCTGCAGAGATTTGGCACTAGCAACCAAAACAGAGAAGTTTACGTTCACTTCAAGTAAATATTTACCGATATGGGAGGGAATAAGAAAGTAATGACATGTTCTTTATTGCTATTCGACAAGTCTACTGAATTCCAATTAGATCAGCAACAAACTTGAATGCAATCTAACTTCCATATTTCCTTTTTAAAAAAAAAAACAAATCAAAACATACTCTTTGTTATTATCCAAGGACTTGTCTTTCCTTATAAAGACTCACATCCAGTACATTGACTCGGTAAATTAATACAAAATGGGTTGAAAGAAATTGAACTTCTACATAATGCATTATTACGATCAACGTGAGGCATAGTATCATAAACTGATGTCTATATTCAATGATAAATATATAACTGCCATAAGATGATATACTAACTTGTTTGCAATGAATTCAAAGCTCGATTTGTCTGAGAGACCAGAGACACAGAGTTTGCGAAGGGAACCACAGCTTCTTGGAATAAGCAAACGAAGCATCCGATCAAGGTTTTCAGGGCAGCGATTTTTGCTCCATTCCTCAATGTCAATCTCTTGCCAACAATAAGGACCCTTTACTGCTTTTCCCCATGACTTGCAAACCCTTGGAACAACAGTTAGCACCTCTTGAAGAGAAAGGTTTCTAAATATTAGCCCGAGTGCATCGGGTAACAATTCATCCCACGGCCTAAACTCGAATCCTTCCTCCATTTCAATTCTTGATTCTCTCCTATAATAATGAAAAACATTGAGACCAGACGTTCCACGGCTCACAAAGTTTGATAGTGTTTACATATGTTATTCCAAATTTCCATATATGAAAGATATGACCAAAAACTAATAGAATTCAAGCAAGTTTAAGAAGTTAGCTACTAAGCTAGCGCTTGACCATAGATTTAGAAATTTCTTCTTCAATTATTTGTTTGGCCGTGAAATTTGATCAGATTTACAAATCTGAATCTTCAAATATTTTCACGTTCCCAAAAACTGGCAGATTTCCACTAACAAGACTTCAATTCAACAACTTAACTCAAATTTCAAGTTTCAACGTTGAAATCTATGGCTGAATGGAAGCTAAAGGATTGGAGTAGTTATATCCACATAAAATCTTCCCAACATAGTAAAAAGGATGAAAAAGTAGTGAAATCATAGCAATCTAGTACAAAACCAAAGAAAAATCGAATCTTGAAAAGATAATAACAATCCATACTCACAAAAGAAGAGATTTATCCATATAAATGAAAATGTTAACATAAAAAACAGAAAGTCACAATCTTTACAAGAGAAACACAGTTGATTATGGAATAATATGAAGTATCAAGAACATAGAAAAGAGAAAATGGCAAAGATAAGAACATACCTTTACACAACCATATTGCCACCAGCAAAACAATCTACAGATTCAAATGGCTACACAGATCAGCATCACTCAAAACTAACCAACACCCTGTTAAGGGAAATGCTCAAATCAGGATACAAACATCTAAATAAAACCAGAAAACCAAGAAAATTCATTTCAAAACTTCTCAAAACACCCTTATATGAAAATTCTAAATAACCCCATAAACAAGTAAATCTTGGAAATCTCAAAGAAAAATTACACTAGCAATAATTACTTTCTCAAAAGTTAAAATCTTTCAAGAAAAGTCATTTCAAGACTTCCCAAACACCCTTATGAAACCAAATAGACTTTGGAAATCTCAATGTACACAAATCAAGAAAGGAAGAAAAACAATTCTATAACAGCTTTAATTACTCTACCAAAAGGTGAAATCTTTCAAGAAAAGTCATTTCAAAACTCCCAAAGACCCTAACATTTTGAAAAATCGCAATACACAAATCAAGAAAGCATTTTTTTTTGTTACACCAGCACAAACAATAAGTTTCTCAAAAGGTAAAACCTTTCAAGAGAAGTCATCTCTAAGCTTCCCAAACACCATTATGAAAATTCTTCCAGCACTACATAAATCACACTACACTAATCAAGAAAGGTAAGTCTTTTACACCAACACAACAAATAGTTTCCCAAAAGGTAAAACCTTTCAAGAAAAGTCATTTCTAATCTTCACAAACACCCTTCTTTGCAGCAGTACATAAATCTCAACACACAAATAAAAAAAAAAAAAAACTAAGTCCTTTACACCAGCACAACAATTATAAGTTCCCCAAAAGTTAAAAATCTTTTTAACAAAACTCATTTCAAAACCACCCTCTTTGCAGCAGTACATAAATCTCAATACACAAATCAAGAAAGTTAAGTTCTTTACACCAGCACAACAATTATTAGTGTTCCCAAAAGGTAAAATCTTTCAAGATAAGTCATTTCAAACAAATTTCCCAAACACCCTTGTTGAAGAAAACCAATAATCTAGCTGAAACAAAGCTGAAATGTAACATTCAGAACACAAACATTAAAGAAAATGTACAAATTAGAAACCCCATGTCAGTAAAAGAGATAAGACCTCAAAAAAGATAAGGTAAAGTTTGGATCTGTGAAAAAACCACCGGTTTATCCGCCTGAAATGAAGGGTAATATGAGGAGCTTCAGTTCAGTACCTCAGTACCCTTTTTAGCTTTTGTGGGGTTACAAGTTTTTGAGAGAAAGAAAAGAGAGAAGCTGAAGTATGTAACAAAGAAACAAGAAAAGAAACAAAAAGGAAACAAGATTTTGATTACTCAGACAGAATTTATAAATTTAAAATAAATAAATAAGCATGTGAATTTTGATTATAAAAAAAAAGATTGAGGAACCTATTCGACATCGAGTTCTATGGATACGAAATCATCTTTGTTAGTTCATTCTTATACAAAGATTTGAGTTCGAGTATTCTTGAATATGTAAATCTATCTTTGTAATGAAATATGTACTCCTAATGTGAAATTTTTTGACTTAAATTTCAAATTTAATCAGACTCTAATATACATAAAATATCAGATGGAGAAACAAAAAAATAAGTTTGAGGAAATATAAGTACACGTTTGATAATTGATTTGAAGGTGAGTTACGTAAGTGTTAAAATTTTACTTAACTAATAATATCATGTTTATTGATTTAGTTGGGAGATAAATTTATTTATATATAAAAATAATATTTGTAATTTAGCAACTTGTATAAGTATTATATGTCCTTCTTTATACTTGAATTCGTTGCGTTTAAATAGGGGTCTTTTAAAATTATATGATAAGGTTTGTATATATTCTATTATTTTCAGATCTCACTTATAAAATCTCACTAAATATATTATTGTTACCTCATAACTAATATATACGTACAAGGTATTTTATTATTAACGAAATTAAAAAATTAAATAACGAAATATGTATAATTTTTTAGGAAATTTATATATTGTTTTATATAGTTTAAAACATTAACGATAAATAAATGAATAGCAAGAGTAATCAAAAAATAATATATAAACTCTAAATTTTTAATAAATAACTTTTAATATTAATATTTAGGTAACTCTATCCTATAAACTATTTTTAAGATTATAACATTTATTTTAATTATATTTTGGAATTTGCTTGCGTACACCTTCTTGAAAGTCAGTCATTTTCACTTTGATAAGATGCCAAAATTAAATACTATGGACTAGTGTAACATCAAATAATAAATGTAATGAATTAAAAAGTCAGTTGAGTAGAAAAGTCTCAAATCAAATTTAAAGTCAAAACATATAAATAATTATACAAAATATTATATTAAATAACATACTCAAATATTATTTTACAAGTTAATATTTGCAGAGAGTAGTACCCCTTACTTTTTAGCTTGTAAAATAACAAAAAATATTCTTCTATTTAAAAAATTATTCATTTAAAAATTTATATTTTTAATCTCATATTTATTTAAACTATATCCTATAAATTTTGAAACGAAAAAAGATATTATAATCAAATTATTACAGCATGCTTGAAGGTAAAGAAATACTTTTTCTCTCTCTTTTTTTTCTTGGTGTTTTCTTGTATTTGGACAGATTTTATAAATACTTCAATTATTTTACGGCAACTTGTATTAATTAGTTAAAAATAAATTGAGTTAATGATATTTATGCATTTTAATTTGATTATGAATTATCGAATCAAATTAATTAGAATTTATCCTACTAAAATTTGATTTATTAACCGGTCAAACATTCAAATCAAACTTTAAAATATCGAATTAAATATTAAAAATTACCTTTACAAAAACTATGTTTTATTTGTGACAATTGTCATGTCATGTATTTTCTTGTCATATAGCAATAATAATAATAACAACAACAATAATATATGATAAAGTAATATTAAAAAGTGATTTAAATTGTTTGATTAATATGTAACGTTAAATTTATAATGTTAGGAGTATATATGATTTTTTTAAAAGCTAACATATCAAAAGTTACACAATTTATAAATATATTCTATCAAGATATTTTTTTTACTTTAATACACAATTATCGTAATTCATATAAAAAATTTATTTATAAAAATCATAACAAATTTGTAAAATTTAATATTTGATATTTATTTTTTACTATTTTATTATTAAATTCTTATATTTTTCCCTTCTCACTTCATTAATTATCTATTCTATATTTGGTTTGTGCATTGAGTGTGGAAGTGAGTTAAGAAACTGTATGAAAAAAAGAGTAGTTATGTATATACTGATAATAAAGCTGAAGCATTGATTGTGACATTAAAAAGTTATGGATCGTTTGACGGAATGTATTAATATAATGTAAAATAATGTATATAGTAATATTTGTGTTAATCATGTTCGTATTAATAAAATATAAATTATATTTATGCATTGTTTGATAAATTATTTTTTATTATTATAATGAAAAAGATATAAAAAAAAGGTATTGAGGGACGATTAGGTCTTTAACTGATGCATTAAAAGCATTGCATTTCTAATACCTAGAAATCTATGGAATTAGCAATACTCAGATCGTTTGATAGAGTGTGTAAAAATAATTTTAAATAGAGTGTATTAGTAATGTTTGTATTAGGAATGAACGTATTAGATATACTTGCATTGTTGTACTTAGATTATTTTTATGCATTTGTTTGTTTGATGCATAAAAAGATGGGAAAAGACGTAAATTCCACTCTGAACTTGTCTCGAAAAGTCAGTTACACGCTTAAACTATTGTGGTGACCTATTACACACCTGATCTAATTCAAAGTGATATTAATATCCCCCTCATTTAAAATGACAAATTTAAACATGTGACACTATTTTTTTGGTCATTATATAATTATGAATTATAATTTCTAATTATATTAATATATGTCATCTTTTTTTCTTTTTTATTAGTGAATCTGGTTTCTTTAACAAATAATTCTTCTTTTTTAACTAATAAATGATGTTATATATAAGTTCAATCTGAGATTAAATTATTAATAGACATATCGAACATCGAACAGATAATTAAAAATAAAATTTTAAAAAAAATAATTTTACTAAAACACTACACATTTAACTTTGGCTGAATTAAAGTTTTAAGGTAACTTATATTATTATTCATATTAATAAAATTGACATACTGTTTAGAATATTATTAAAATTTAAAACTTTATTTAAATGTTAGTTTATTTGGATTTTCCATTTTATTCCCATCCTTGCTTTATTTGTTATTTCATATTATTCCAAAAGACTTTTAAAAGTAGATTCTGCATTTTCTACTAAAAGAATATGTTCATTAAAAAATCTTATTTCATTTATAAAATAAAAAATAAAATATTTGAGAAGCAAATGTAAGAAGTCTTGAGTTGTACTTTTAAATATCCACCGAACCTAGTAGGTATATGTGTCTAACATCCACTCCTTCTAGTCGAATGAATGCCTTAAAACGACTTTAATGATGAGAGAAGGCGATCTCAACGAGAATAACTCTAACGTATAATAAGTTTAGCAATTTAGTTTGACTTTAGATTTGCGATTCTAAAATTTTAAACATGGGTGGATAATCTTTTGGGCTTCTTTAACTTATGGGCTGAACTTTTGGTACTCTTAATTGGGCCACCAAATGAGTCCACTTTTATAATGGGCCTAACAAAATTTAGAGCCCAATCCATTTTACTTATTATGAATGGGCCTATTATGTTTTCTTCTTAATAAGCAAATACCCCATAAAAGCTAAATTATTACAAACATATATCCCTTTTTATTCATATCTACTAAACAATTACACTATATACCCCCTACTAATTTCACTTAACTGATATTATATCAGTATTATATATTGTATATTATATATTGTATTGATATCATTAAGGCTGATAATTTCGCTTAACTGATATTAAATCAGTATCCTATATTGTATTGGTATCATTAAGACTGATAATTTTGCTTAATTGATACCAAATCAGTATATATATATATGTATGTATGTATGTATGTATATGTATATGTATATCATTAAGGTTTCTTATTTAGAAATTATTTATTAGTCAATGTAGTATTCACCAGTTAATGATACTCTATGAGTAATTTCTGAATAAAAAACATTAACCATGCCACAACAATATGCATATACTTTTATAGTATCATTGACTGTTTATAGTAACTTATCTCACAGATTTGTCTCTTAAATCGAGTTGAGAACTGTGAGAATCATATGAATTTGTGCTACACTTTCTAAAGTGTTCTTGTGTGTATGATTGCAATCCTTCTTTAGAACCTTATCAACCTAGAAGTTCGATTGTATTTTCTCTTTTAACTCTTCTTTATCGATTTACCATTTATTAAAAACATCACAATAAAATGAATAATTTATACAACACAGTTGACCTAGAAATAGTGAGTAGGAATATATGCATTATGACATGTACGTGAAATACATACAACTTAACATCCTTCAATTTCTTTTAGGTCAATGTCATGTCTTGTCATTGATATTTTGGCATATCTTGGTGAAACTTTACTTAGGTGAATCCAACAATAAAAAAATAAATCATACATACTTTGAAATATTATTAAATTAAAGTTATAATCTTTCGAAATAAAACATTTTCTTAAGCACATTGATGTTAGAAACTATACTAGTTTGAGTTTTGTATGAAAAGTTATATACTATTTTTAAATTATTAGACACAATGGGAGGGTTCAGTATGAAGGAAGATTAAAACAAATTCCACAAGAAGTGATCAGGCTCCAATATCTAAATTCCCAAGACATGACCTTGATCTAGAGACCCAACTCCAATATCTAAACCTACCACTAACACTTAACTTGGTCGAGTCTTGATTCCACATCGAGTCTCGTCTCGAGGTCAGGCTTTGATCTAATTGTGATTCTAGGTCGCGTACTCTTTCGAGCCTGGGATAATTTAGGGTCAAAATTCAGAATAGTAACTAAGTTTAGGAGAACTTGATGAGTGTCACTTCACATGTTAGGATTGAGTCAGATATCGAGCGATCTCAATTGAGTCTCTAGTCAGGCGGGTGAGGGTTGGGTCGTGTTATGAAATCCAAGAATAGACAAACTCCAAGCAAACTAAGAACACATATCTAAATCAATCGAGTCAATAAACTTTAGATATCAACCTACTACAACCACTATATTATTTTTGTAACAAAAGTCCAATAAACAAACAAGATGAAACTTTGAAAGGATAAGTCAAATTAGACACTACTCTAAAAAGCTACACCATTTTCATAGACTCCTATTCAATTTAGGGTTTAGGTTTTTCAGAATTAGGTTACTATAGCATGTCACAAATCATTCAATCATCTTAAAGTATATGTCAATTAATTATCTTTATAATTAATTATATGGACCATTTTTTTTATAAAAAAAAATGGTAAGTACTATTCTCTGTATTTTTGCAGAAAGTGACCACATTTTTTGAAAAAATAATAGTAGTAGCTATCTCCTTTATTGACTGATTTAAATCCCTTTTTAGGGTAAGGGGATGTTGACACTTCTCTTTGAACTGTCACTATTTTATGGTCACTCTATGCAAATATTGGAACTCTCAATATATATATATTTTTTACATGTTATGTGTCTTTATAATTAAGTGCTATTTTTCAAAACATCTGTTTGAAATCCTATATTCTATGTTTTTATACTTCCTTTTTTGGTGAAATTTTAGACATTTTGCATTTTAATGTATTGTTAAGTTTACCTTTTTAATGGTTGAGAGATTATCATAATCGTAGTCTTAGATAAGGGTGAGGTCTGTATAGATATGTATTTCATCGTGTATAAATTTTACTTGTGAAATCATATTCAGTATGTTATGTTGTTGTCGTGCACTTTAATTGTAACTAGGAGATCTTCTCCAACGCAAAATATTATTTAGTTAAAGTAATATATTAGATTGATTATTTTTTAAAAGTGTATTCGCTTGAGTTTTCCATGTAAAATGCATGTATAAACACGATTTTTTTAACTTTCGAATTATATCATTTTTCAACTTCAAAAGATCAGAATCTATGAGTTTTTTTTTTTTTGACAAATTAAGATAGGGAGAGAATTAGCTTCAAAGAAGCAAATATAGAAAAAAAATGTATTAATTACACAAAGTCTTTGTTCTCACGTCATATTATTACAGTTTACTGACTAGCTATATATTCCACCAGAAATTAATAAAAGAAGAAAAAATGTGTTAAGTTTTAGATTTGTTTCTATTTTTTTTCCATTTACTAATTTGTCCATCACTTATACACCTGCTTTTGAGTCGAAGGTCGATAAAAAACAGTTTGTGTACCTTCTCAAAAATAGTGATAGAATTTGCGGACACTCGGTTTTTTCGGACCTTACTTAGAAAACTTTACTAAGTATGTTGTTGTTATATCAATCTATTTAAAGAAACACAAATTTTTTCATTAGTTTAGAATCTAATTACGTGTCTTCACTTTAGTTTTCGAATATCACCTTATGTATAATATTTATTACCGTATCTGACGCACTCAAATGCATATATCTTGGATACATGCGGGTTAAATTAAGCGTAATCTATTTCAGAATACAATGTATCCAAATATGATTCACGTAAGTCTAAGATATACTAACGTTCTCGCTCGTCTCTTTTCTCCTCTCTCACTCACCTCTCTTTCTATATACTATTTGTATTTTAGAAAATATATGTATCTAATATTTTTAATACATATATCTAACTTGAAATCTAAACAACGTTGTATCGATTTATATGAAGTGAAGCCCTCAATAATGTAAAAAAAAAAAGGCTTTTTCCACCTTTTTTCTGCACCAATTCTCCCTCTATTTCTGTCTCTCTTTTTTCCTTTGACTTGTTGTTTTCACACTTTCTGTTTTTTTCCACACATCACTCAAAAATAAATATATAAATATATAAAAAAAAATAAAAAAATAAAATAAAATTCATATATTATATAACTAGTTTCTTCTTTTTTCTTTCTTTCTTCCATCTCTCATTTCAATTCATTTCTTCCCAATTTTCTCTCTTGTTCCTCCTACTTCTAAAAATATAACTTTGATTATTTTTATTTTTTTATGTGAATTTATTTTTATATACAAAGTGTAAAAAAAATGCTACTATGATTTTGAGTAATAATTCAATTTTCTCATTATATTTTTCCATCAAATCCACAATTATTGTCTTTTTTCTCTTCCTTTTTATCCTTTTCTCTCCTTCTTATAGTTTATATCATCATAACCATAAAATCCAAGATTCTACTAAGGTAGCTTCTCTTCTTTCCTATGAAATTCATCGAAAATTGACTTATCGAAAATACTCCTACAAATTTCCTAAACAAGTCAATTTTTATTAGAACGTTCGTTAGAATTTCGTGTTTTATATATTAGTGTGCCAATATTAGTTAAAAAAAAGAAAAGCACACATATAGTTTATTAGTAATAATAATAATAATAATACAATTTGACTTTGCATGTAAATATAGACTTTATGTTATGGAGTTGAATTTCTTTTAATTATTTTTTTTTTGTTTTTTTAGGGTTTGTTAGTGGAAGAGAAAACAAGGTTGGGATCGATGCCACCAAGTTGTTACAACAAGTGTAACCAATGCCACCCATGCATGGCGGCACAAGTTCCAACAACACCGAGTCATCGCCAAGATGGACCGAGTCCGAGTCGAGGTAAAAATATAGCTATGGAATATTTTGACTCACCATCACCATCAACCGGAGCTAATAGATACTCGAATTATAAGCCACTTGAATGGAAATGTAAATGCGAAGACCACTTGTATAATCCTTAGTTAGGTCATAATCGTATCGTTCAGATTAATTTGAGAATTTTGATTATTTTTTTTTTTGATTAATCGTGTGATTTATATTTAACATGTGGATTGTATGTGTGTATATAATTTTTTGAATTTATTTTTGAAGGAATTTTTGTGTCAATAAAATTGGTCTCATGTGAGAATTTTTTCTTTTCTTTTTTAAGAGACTATATTAAATGAGGCTGTTAGAAGCATTTAGTATGGTGTACAAATTTTGATATTAATACATTGATGTTGTACATTATCTTTTTCACAGTGTTGATTTAATGTTTTGCAGTAGCTTTTGATATGATTTATCGTATTTTTAATTTAAGATTATAAAATTATAAATTTTATATAATTTTAATGATTGTGTTAAGTTAAAATAAGATCGAATAAAATGTAAAATGTTGTTTTCTTTACTCAAAATCATGCTTATAAACAATTTAACTTTTCAAATTTCTATTTTACTCTGTACTTTATAATTTTATGAAATGACTTGTTCAAAATTACAAAATTTATAAGTTTGACTAAGAGAATCTTGTGTAAACTTTTCTATACACTATTTACATATTAAAAAAAGACAATAATTTTTCTCCCCATGTTTTATCCTCAACATTAAATACTTATTTTAAAATTATTTTTAAAGAAATCATTTCATATGAAATAACTTGGTAAAATACTTATCTCAATAAATTATTTTTATTAATGCATGTGTCAAATCAAAGCGACGAGCAAAAGTGAATTGAGGTAATATTTGTTTTTTCTCTCTCTTTTTTATCCTGCACAACTAGTATTACGTATCAATCAGTTCAATTTTAAAATGTATATATTTGACTTATTGATTTATAGAGATGATAAATTGTTATAAAATCATTAGGATATTAATCGTTAAAATTTAACACAAAAAATATCATTGAACCTAAACAACAAGGTGACAAATCAAATGAACTATGCAAATGAATTCACAAGTTACATCCTGCTTAAAAGCAAACACCTTTACATTGTAAAACAATCGAAACAATCCGAAATAAAATAGGAAATCAGACTCTAAAAGTCAAGGACTTTATATACAAAATGATATTATATAAATCTAATTATTTAATTTACTATCGCATTATCAATTTACCAATTAAGAGAAAAACTCAAAAACCGATACATCCAATAACAAAAAAAAAATAAAATCAAAATCACTAAATCATGAACCCATTATTATATAGAAATAACTTTTTTTTCTAGATCGAATTATTAGTTTTGGTTCGATTTTAAATAATTCTGCGCACAATTTACATCTTTTTGATTTTCTTGATGATTCGAAATCATAATTTAGAATTGAAATAATGATTGATTGTCATCTAAATAACTCCCTCGTAACATTCTTTATTTTCTCTCCATATCTATCAAAAACAATTTCTTTATCCGAAAAGAATAAAAATAAGATTCCTCCCTTTCTAAACCTTCCTCTTTAAACCTCAATTGTAAAAGTATAGCATTATTCGCTAACTAAAGTATGAAAAATAAACTTTACAAATCGCAAGTAATATTCTACGTTAATTACGTCCTTCCATTCTCAAATAAACTCATCTTCACCCTTATTTCCATAAAATAACCAAGGATGGACCCACCTAGAATCCTCGATCATCCATTAACTTCGTATCAAAAGATATATATCTATATAAAAATTAAGAGGTATATGTATAAAATTAATATGACACATCTAATGAACAAATGTTCTGACCGATCCAATGGCTCATGATGAACACTTAACTCTAGTATTGCTGAGCTTAAGTTCGAATACCCTTCGATATCCCTACCCTCTGAGGGCGGACCCACACTACACCGTCAGATGCACGTGCATCCAATAACTTTTGAAAAAAATTATATGTATATATGTATATCTATTCTGAAAAACAGATAGAAATAAGATATAGTTAACAGTGAAAAATATCCTTGTCTTTTACCATTGGTAAAAAGTAGATATACCACCCACTGGACCGGGTTCGAATCTCTATGTTTTTACTTATGCACTCAAAATCTTCAAATACTGGATTCGACTCTGCCTACCCTACTTCCGTAGTCCATCACCCATAATATTCGTCTAAATTATATACAAACTTTAATATAATATAATATTTTTTGCTTACTTATTGAATACGAGATTTCTTAAATCCATACAAGAAGAAGCTAACATAATTTTATGAATAGAGCAAACAACACATCCATTTTCAAAGGAGCTGAAACTTACCCATAACAGCACACAGTTAAGCTCTTCTCCATTTATCTAACTCTTGTGTAGTTGTTTTGATCAATTTCTTAGTATTGGCAACAATTTCATCAATCAATTGACCTACTTCATCATGATTCGGAAAACTCGCCGGCCGAGTACCGGCATTCGAGTATCTCCGGTTATCATCATAACCATAACCTCTACCAACTGCATAACCAAAACCTACACCAATTCCACAACCAGCACCTAATCCAAAACCTAGCTGCAATCCAGGAAGTCCGGGACCAAAACCAGTGCCTCCGATAAGACCAATTCCGATACCAAAACCACAGCCAACGCCGATTCCAAAGCCAGGTCCGATTTTTCCTAAATGCTTTGATTTAACTATTGGTAGCTTCCAGATTAAACCCTTTTCTTCATCTCCGCCATTCATTTTGGGTCTCGAAGGTTTTGAATTTGCGTAATTTGAACACTGAATCTGTTTACCTAGATGGAGAGAAGAATTGGGGGAAAATGAATTGGTTTTGTTTTGTGGCTCAAAATAAAAGAGAAAAAATTCAATAGCAAATTCGGGGCAAATGGAATCCGAGTCCAATGGGCTTTGTAAAAAATAGAAGCGAATTAAAGGTGGATAATCAAAATTTTCCGTTAATAAAATGAAGAGAAAATTGTATATAATAGCAAACTAATAATCTAAAATAAATGGTGTAGCCAGGTTTTGATTTAATTGTGCTCCATAGCAAACGTTTGCAAAAAATTATCAGGCGCCTCTCTCCCAAATATCTCGCTCGCCACTCTCCTCCAATCTCTCGCTCGCTTCCTCACTTTTTAAACAAACACACGTGTATAAAAATTGTTTCTAATTGTATAAAGCAAAGAAAATTGTATAAATACATATATTTTTGTTCCCCTCTCTCCCTTCTTCCAAATCTCGCTCGCCGCTCTCCCAAATCTCGCTCGCCACCCTCTCCTTTCTCACTTATACAAACAGAAGCGAAATGTATAAATTGCGTTTATGTTTGTATAAAGCGTGAGAAAATTGTATATACACATGCAAGTACATATATTTTCGTCGTATACACTTATAACTATACAATAAAAATACTCCCCTGCCCAGTTTCTTTTGCCTTTCTCTCTTTCACGTTTTATACAATTTTCAAATTGTATCTAATTTCTCTCTTTCTCGTTTTATACAATTCGATTAAATTGTATATTCCTTGTCAAGTCTCTTTTGTTTCTCTCTTTCTCATTTTATACAAGTTCAAATTGTATATAATCGTTCTATATACTTATAATAATACAATTCGTATTATAAACTTCGTTTTTATACAGTTCTTTGTCCAAGTGTCTTTCTCTTTCTTGTTTTATACACTTCGTTTTATACAATTCGTTTCAACTGTATATGTATAGCGAATTATACAGTTTCTATGTTTGCTATGGAGAGCAATTATGCAAACTTTGTTATAGCATACAAATATGAATTTTTTATTTACTATATATGAAAGTTTGCCTAAAATGAAAGATTAGGTGATTGATCAATTAAACTATTAAGATTATCATTTGATATCGTTATGTTTTAGCTCCTATTATCAAATATTAATTATTAATCCAAAGGATACGTGAAAATAATTAGATAAAAAATGTCTATTAAAATACGAAATAATATTGGAATTTAAAGAATTGATAAGTGAATTTAAGTAATGATTATGTGTTTTTTTAAATCAATTTAAACTCGAAATACTTTTTATAGAGTTCAAATTTTTATAAGCTTTTTTGTGTTTTAAGTAATGATATTTTTTTAAATCGTTTTTAAAGCGACTAAAAACTTATATCAGGCTTGAAAAATTAATCATCCTATTAATTTTTCAGTCGTATATAACCCTTGAGGTATGTGCTCACGAGAACCCACTTTGGATTGATTTCACAATGGAGCTATTCACTTCAAGTATCGACATTGTCTTAGATTAAACATTCACGTATTTTATTATTGTTCAATCTCTAAAATGAATTTTCACTTAAAATGAATTAGTGTTCGTGTAATCGTGTTCAAAGATGTACAAAACTCTTCGTTATTTATTTTAATAATTCTACTATATATTTGTAAATTATTAAATCATAAACTCAATTATTATTTTACGTTAACAAAAAATTATTGTAGTAATTCATACACTTCAAAACCTGGATCCGTCTCTGCTAATTTTCATGGATTAGGCTATTAAGTAAAGGCACAAATAAATGGCTACTTATGCAAATGTAGGCTACTTGTGCAAAAATCCCCATTTGCTTAACTACCACACAAATCAAATCCCCCGCGAAATCGCCATAACCAAAAAAGCTTCTCACAAAGCTCCAGTTTACTGCTACAACAATGGCGTCTTCCATTAACCTACTTATCTCTCCACCAAATTCACAATACTCATTCTGTTCTCGCAATTCACTTCTCTTCTCTCCTTCAATTACAACATTTCGACGAACTCTTCCATCGAAATCGCTATCAATTTCAGCTTCAGCTTCTTCGACGAGAGCATTGGAAGCTCTGATATTCGATTGTGATGGCGTAATTTTGGAATCTGAGCATCTTCATCGCCAAGCGTATAACGATGCTTTCTCTCATTTCAATGTGCGATGCCCTGATAATGATGATAAGCCCCTGAATTGGAGCCTTGAGTTTTATGATGTGCTGCAGAATCAAATTGGAGGTGGAAAACCTAAAATGCGATGGTATTATCTATTTTTTTCTCTCAATGTTTTTGATTGTTGAATTGTTGAAGTCATTGTAGATTATGAAGTTGAAACTTGAATTTTTTTTAAAAAAATATCATAAAATGATACGTAACAACCGTCCAAAACAAGTTGTTAACTGGCTTTAATGAAAATATAGATAGATCAAATCATTACACGGTCTTTTTAGATGAGATTTTGTTCACATTTTTCTAACATTTATCATATACTGATGGAGTTTTTTCGAGTGTTTTTGATAGGTATTTTAAGGAGAATGGTTGGCCTACTTCAACAATCTTTCAGCATTCTCCGGAGGATGACAACGATAGAGCCAAGCTGATTGATACTCTTCAAGTACTATATCAGATTTTCTTTGTTGTTTCCGCTATGTGAATTGATGGTAACTGGTGTAGGTGGAACTCTGAGGGCTGACTCGGGGGCTCGGGAGGCTGGGAAATGAGACGGGAATTGTTTGATCATAGCTTAAACAAAGTTTGACTGAGTAATGTACGAAGCTTGGAGATGGGGATGCAGTAGCTAGGAAGATTGGCGGATTGTTTAGACATATCTGAACTTGCAAATGGAGATAATAAATGTGTTTTCCATGTTACAATATATAGATTTTGGTTTTGCACCATAGTTTAATCAACAAGTAGTCTTATAGATAGGTTTTCGAACGACTAAGTATGGATAGGGGTCACTAGTTCAAAGCTAAACAATGTCATTGTTTTATTTGCTTTGTTGTTCTTACTATTATTACTAGTACCTTTTCTTGAATTTTTCTTTCAAATGATTTCTTGTCGGTGACGTTGCCCTTTGCATTTGTTCCGTCTTTTTGTTAGGATTGGAAGACTGAGAGGTACAAAGAGATAATCAAATCTGGAACTGTAAGATTATCTATATTCATCACTGTTCCTGCTTAAATCGCTTGAGTTTCGTAGCATATCCAATTTTCATTTACGAAACAATATGGTGTTGCTTTTGGCAGGTTGAGCCGAGACCAGGAGTTTTAAGATTGATGGATGAGGCCAAGGCTGCTGTAAGATATTTACCTTACCTTACACTACTGTTCTTACTCTGCTGTGTAATTTTTCGTTGAAGGACTTTCGGATGAATCCCTTGGGCCTACCTGGCTCCGTTCCTAGCATTAACGCCTTTTCCATTGTATTCCAGGGCAAGATGCTCGCCGTCTGCTCTGCTGCAACCAAAAGTTCAGTTGTACTGTGTCTTGAGAATCTTATAGGACTTGTAAGTCTTCTGCTTTTGGAAGCATGTTTCCTTTTCGTTCTATTTCTTGTCGAACATGGTTAACTGTTTGTCCAAATTTATTCTTTTAGGATCGATTCCATGGTCTTGATTGCTTCCTTGCAGGTATCTTTATCTGCTTTTCTTTTGATGATTTGTACTACCTATTTCTGTAAAAGAACATGATGCTACTTCATAACTACTTCACGTATTCATGCTGTCGTAAATTGAAATGCTGTATACAAATCAGTTCTGATAGAACACGGTCCATTACGTCTTGAAACTACTACTACTATCTTATAAGATTACAGGACTATTTGAATATGGTAACATGTATTCTCGGTTTTGTAATTTCCAGGTGATGATGTGAAAGAAAAAAAGCCTGATCCTTCAATATACATTACAGCTGCCAAGGTGATTAGTATTATATGTGCTTGCACTTTCATACCGCGTATTATATCATTTATCGTACTTCTTTTGACATTTGGTTTGGTTTTCGTCAGAAACTTGGCGTCTCAGAAAACAATTGTTTGGTGGTAGAGGATAGTGTCATCGGGCTACAGGTTCATCTCCCAATTCTCATTTCTCTGTAACTTATATTTTAAAAGTTCTTTCTAGAGGATGTGTTAGTTCGAAGTAGTACCACTTTGATCTTCATCATATGGAAATTTAACGGCTATTTGTAACTCGTCCTTATTAGTACATTTTTGCCTTCTCGCGGCTTATATAGCTGATCAAAATGGCATTGTTAGGGTCCGGATATGTGAACTGCAGTATTCGTTATAACTGTTCTGTACTTAACCAACCAATTTCTCAGGCTGCAACCGGAGCTGGAATGTCGTGTGTTATAACCTACACTTCATCTACCGCGGATCAGGTAACACATATCATCATGGTCCTCCTTCATCGCCTCTCATGCTTAACGTAAATTAACATCATTATCGATACACTATCATGTTTCACAGGATTTCAAAGAAGCTATAGCAATCTATCCTGACTTGAGTGATGTTAGGTATGAATACATACATACATATATATGCTGGTCATTGTAGTATAATACTTTAACAAACTTGCGTTCGTGCAGGTTTAATGATTTAGAGTCACTGGTCGCGAAATAGGATAGAGGGACGGGTCCATTATGCAGAAGAGTTTCGAAGCTGAACAACAGAGTCCTTTAGTATCTGAAATGAAGTTTTGGCAAGCTTGTATCATTTTTTAGTTCTAAAATAAACTGTTCATAATTATTCATTTTGTGTAAAATAAAGAGTTAATCACATCACATTCATAGTATATGTCAATATAATGTAATCTTATTTCTCAGTTCCAAGCACTGTTGCTTGTCATTCTCTCGTAACCTTTGATTTAGTCGAGTCTTAATGCATGTATATTTGACATTGGATCGAAAATCGGTTAAAAAGAAAAAAGAAGATCAAAATGAGAAGCTGACAATTCTAACACTTCTGTTTTTGGAAGACCTTGTGTTACAAGTATAATCATATCTTGAATATTTCATATATAATTATAACTAGCGTAAGCCCACAAATAGTTGCTTTAGAGTGGCCAAATAAAGCTTAGTTGATCGTACCACTATCGAGTCAACTTGAACAAGTATAACTTGATCCGATTTGACGGCCGATCCATTTTTTATTATGCATACTTCACAATAATTATGATATAATTAATATATATGTTATTATATCGAAGGATTTAAACACAACCGACCTTAGCTCAGTTGGTAGAGCGGAAGACTGTAGTGGGTGTAAGCCTGTCAGAAAATCTTTAGGTCGCTGGTTCGAATCCGGCAGGTCGGATTTTTTTTTTAATTTTTTTTCAATTTTCGACTTATTCCGATTTGCATAGAACACACTTAGTATAATTTCATACTACGGTGTGAGGACGGTACTATCTTCATTGAGGAAAGAAATGTTATTTTCAACAGATCTCGTCTCTGTAAAATTGTTTTTCATAAAAGTTACCAAGAAATAAATCAATGAAAAACGTGTTTAATTTTCATCTCACGTTTTGACCATTGTATTTATTTATTTATTCCAAATTTAAGTCTAATTTCTTGTATTATATTAAAATGCCCCCATTTTTAGAAGGAAAAAAAAAACATAATTACACAATACTTTAAAAGATTTTTACATAATCCTAGCAATATTAAGTAATTAACAAAATGTATTATAACCTGGAGTAAACTCATGACCATTTGAATTAGTGAAACAACAATTTTGGAGTATTAAAAGAAAATGAGATTCAATTTATACGTGACTATCTATTACGAGATATTACTCTTTTAAAGCAGATTTGATTGTACGTTAAAATCATATCTCGATAGAAAAAAGTACATTTAATAAAATAAAAAATCTTTACAAAAATTATAACCAAATGCAACTCCGTCTTCAAAAATTTCAAATATTTGATTTCTATAATCAAACGCCTATCTATCTAACTTCATTGCATTATTTCTCGCTTGATTCTTCCAATCTCTCGGGGTCTATTCTTGAATCTCTCTCGAATTTCACCCACACAGAGTATTTGTTCATTAAAGGGAACTCCCTGAACGGAACAATACCATCCTGGATATTCTCCCTTCCATCACTAAGTTATTTAGACCGAGTTTTAACCAATTGCACGGTCCTCTACCCAAGATTGAGGTTTCGTAAAATGTAACTTAAGATCAAGTCGCGTTAGGTTCATGAAGTTTTGAATTGACTTAGGAAGAGTACCTTGCAACTTAAAACTTTGAGCCGAAATAAGTTAGTGATGGAAAGGATAATATCCAGGATCGTATTGTTCCGTTCAGGGAACTAACTACCTTCAAAGAACAAATACTCTGTGCAGGTGTGCTCATGAATCAGCACCGAGAGATTGCAAGAACCAAGTGACAAATAAATGCAATGAAGTTAGATAACCAAGAGATTCAGCCAAAATTACCAGGAAAAAAGGTCCTCTCAGTGTAATGTCGTCTTCAGGCGTTTTAATCCAGCTTGTGGCTATTTGCCATTACTGTCGTGTTTAGTATGAGGGCAGAGGGCGCGAATCAAGAAGGAATGACTTCAACTGTTTGAAAAGCTCCTTTGGTTTCTCCATGTTAATTGCATGTCCTGCATCCTTTATTATAACAAGTTCCGCGTTCTCACTTAGATGCCTGCACCATCAAAGCAAGTTCAGACAAAAACGCGAAGCTAGTCGTTTAATGCCTGAGCTAGTCTAGTTTTGTAAGGTTTGACCTTTTTAATCTGTGAGCCAATTCTAGTGGGAATATCTGATCATATTCTCCCCATATTATCAACGTAGGCTGCATAAAGGAGATGGATATCAGTAAGAGAACTAATAACATTCGATAATTGTTGAACTTTAAGCGCAGAGATAAGACCACAATTTCTACGAACCTGAGTAATCTTAGGAAGATCAGAGAGCTTTCTGGTATTGTGTAATGTTTCGATCAACTCCTTTCTTTCTTGATGATTAACTGTGCACATCACCTGCCACAACAAGGGGGGAAAACACATAAATACCAACTTATTGAATAATCGTGACAATATAGTCAAACTTCTCGTACAAATGAGAAGCCAAACATAGATGTAGATTAAAAGCTGGATCGAAGTTCAGTTGATCAATTTGCTAAATGTCGACAGCATTTCCATCTAGCTTCTGAGAAAATTTTACTAGCTGAAAGCCTCAGTATTCATCTCACTGAAACTCCTAGCGTGCAAAAGCTAGAGGTGATCACTTGATTAAACTAGTGGAGAAAGTGTATTAGTAATTGTATAATAAAGTCCATAGTACATGCTTCCATTTATCACCTCCACAAGTCGATACTACGACTCTACGACAAAACTTTTTTCTCACTACTAACATCCATGAGAAAACTCTATCTCCAAACAATAACATATAGTAATTCCACAAAGTGGGGTCTGACGAGGGTAGAGCGTACAGAAACCTTACCTCTACCTTGGAGGTGGAGAGGTTGTTTCCGAGAGCCAAAACTAAAATCCTAAAAAAGGTCATTGCATAACTTCATATCACTGGTGAAAAACATTGAGCAGTAGCTTTGAGTGGAAACTCAATTCTTGGAACAAAACAAGATCAGACATTCTTTTAACGTTTTCAAAACCATATCATTGGAAATAACCAACAACAAACCGACCTTAGCTCAGTTGGTAGAGCGGAGGACTGTAGTGGGGTGTAAACCTTTCAGATATCCTTAGGTCGCTGGTTCGAATCCGGCAGGTCGGATTTATTCTTTTGCCATCTTTTTTTTATATATGTAAAGGACTTGCCATATAATATACTCCTACTCTGGCAGCATATAAAATATATTTTTGTGTCAGTACTATGAGATTCCCTGTAATCTCCAATTTCTTAATCCAGACAAGAGGCTTAAGATTTCAGTTTAAAAACCAAAACTTACAATAACTGGCTTCTCTAATACCAATATAAGAAAACAAGCACTCAACTGCCACAAATGTCTTGATATACCAACCTATTATCAGATTTCGAGAGTATGTACTATACATAATAGTTGAGGAAGAGAAAAGGGGCACCAAGGCGGTGGAGGGGAGTGAGAGTTTATGTAGACAAACAGACAGCGAGAACTTTAAACAATGCCTAGAGAACAAGTAGTGGTGCAAAAGGAAAAACACGGGAGTAAATAACTAGAAGGACACAATGCACAAAGATCATGATACTTTAGGCTTCTATGAAGCAAAACTAGTTGAAGAAATAATGTACACTTCAGACCAAAAGGTAGTTAATGTCCAAACATCTTATAAACAACTTCAAAGTTTCTTCCACAACTTCATATTTTTTAAGAATGTAGACGGAAGACGAAATTCATTCTTGGAACTCACAAAGTAAGATCACCTTACTTGTAATGTTATCAAGACTCCAAGTCAAAGTAAGCATTAGAATGAGTTCCCCTTCTTTTACCTTTTTTCGATAAGAAAAAAAAAGGACCATGCTCATGCAACTGATGGACAACATTCAGCATTGCTTTGAGAGGGAATTCATTCTTGGAACAAAACAAGATAAGACATTCTTTAATGTTTTAAAAATCATAGCATAGGAAAAAACCAACAGCAACCGACCTTAGCTCAGTTGGTAGAGCGGAGGACCGTAGTTGGTGTAAACCTTTCAGATATCCTTAGGTCGCTGGTTCGAATCCGGCAGGTCGGATTGATTCTTTTTGCCATTTTTTCTTTCTTTCTGTTTTTTAAAAAATAATTATTTATTCATGAGAAGAGGAGCTTGCATATAATATAGTCCTACTCTGACAATAGTATTTATTATCACTTCTTCAGCAATAGCAATAAGTTTATGGTTGTGTCAGTAGTTTAAGATTCCCTACCATCTCCAATTTTATAATCCAGGCAGAATACAAGCACTCAACTCTCACAGATGTCTTGAAATACCAATCAGTTATCGAATTTTAAGAATATATAGGTTAACATAGACAAACAGACAACAACTTATAACCAATACTATGCATGAAAATGCATTAGGAATACCTAGAGATAAAGTAGTGGTGCAAAAGAAACAACACAAGAACAAATAATTAAATGGATGCAATGCACATAATTCATGGTAATTTGCGCTTCTGTGGTGGAGAACTGGTCTTCTATGCAGCAGATCTAGTTTTTAAGAAATAATGTACACTTTAGTCCGAAAGGTAGAAGTCACCAAAATTCTAACAAACAACTTCAAAGTTTCTTCCACAACTTCATATTCATTAAAAATGTAGACAGAAGACGAAATTCATTCTTGGGATTCACAAAGTAAGATCACCTTACTTATAATGTTATCAAGACTCCAAGTCAAGGTAAGCATTAGAATGAGTTCCCCTTCTTTTACCTTTTTTCGATAAGAACAATAAAGTGATCATGCTCATGCAACTGATGAACAATATTCAGCAGAAAATTCATTTTTAGAACAAGACAAGATAGACATTCTTAAATTTTTATAAAACCATAGCATTGGAAAGAACCAACAACAACCGACCTTAGCTCAGTTGGTAGAGCGGAGGACTGTAGTAGGTGTAAGCCTTTCGGATATCCTTAGGCCGCTGGTTCGAATCCGGCAGGTCGGATTGATTCTTTTTCTCTTTTTTAAAATAATTATTTTATTCTGGAGAAGAGGGGCTAGCCATATAATATAGTCCCACTCTGACAACAACATTTAATATCATTTCTTCAACAATAGCAATCTATATAGTTTCAGTGTTGCGTCAGTAGTGTGAGATCCCTTCAATCTCCAATTTTCTAATCCAGGCAGAAAACAAGCACTCAACTCAAACAAATGTCTTGATATACTAATCATTTATCGAATTTCAAGAATATATACAGACATAACATTTGATAAAGAAAGGAGAACCAGGGTGGTGGAGGGGAGGAAAAGAATTAAATCAACAAACAGACAAGAACTTGAAATCAATACTATGCATGAAAAATGCACAAGGAATACCTAGGGATAATTGGTGGTGCAAAAGTAACAACAAGAGAACAAATTATTAGAAGGATGCAATGCACATAGTTAATGTTCTTCTTTGGAGGAGAGCTGGTCGAAGAAATATTGTAAATTTCAGGCCAAAAGGTAACCAACAACAACATACCCATTGTATTCCCACTAGTGGGGTTTAGGGGAGAGTAGAAAGTACGTAAACCTTACCCCTACCTTGTGAAGAGGTTGTTTCCAAAAGACCCTCGGAACCAATCATTTTATAAACAATTTGAGAACTTCCTCAATTGCATATATATGAAATTGGAGATGAAAGACAATATTCATTCTTGGAACTCACTAAGATTACCTTACAATGTTTTCAAGAATCCAACGAACAGGCAAGATAGGTATTTCATGTTTTCAAAACTACAGCATTGGGAAGAATCAATAGAAACCGACCTTAGCTCAGTTGGTAGAGCGGAGGACTGTAGTGGGTCTAAAACCTATCAGATATCCTTAGGTCGCTGGTTCGAATCCGGCAGGTCGGATTGATTCTTTTTGCCATGTTCTTTCTCTTCTTTTTTTTAAATAACTATTTTAATCTGGAGGGGTTTGCCTTTAAATATACTCCATTCTGACAAGAGGTGCATGGAAAGTATTTATTACCACTATCATAGGCAATAGCAACTTATAAAAATAATGTTCATGTGTGAGTAGTGTGAGATTCCCTGCAATTTCCATTTTGCTAAATCCAGGCAGAACATAGACCCATAACAACTAGTTTCTCTACACAAATGTAAGAGAAAAACACACATCCAACCGTCATACATGTCTTGAGATACCAATCATCTATCGAATTTCAAGAGTATATACTACATATAATATTTGAGAAAGAGAAACGGGGCACCAGGGTGGTGGAGGCGAAGGAAAGAGATGATATAGACAAACCGACAGCAAGAACTTTAAAATGATACTAGGCATGAAAATGCAGAAAGAATGCCTACTTGTTTAAAAAATGCAGAAGGAATGCCGAAAGAACTATTATTGGTGCAAAAGGAACAACATGAGAGTAAGTAATTAAAAGAATGTGGCCTTAGTGGTCAATGAAGTGGTTGAGAGCCATGAGGTCTTAGGTTCGATTCCACCGGAGACAAAATAAACACTAGGTGATTCTACTCATTTGTCCTCGCCTTGGTAGACAGATATGCTTCTTTGAAGCAAAACTACATTAGTCATTTTCTTGTAACAAGTCAATATAAACATTTTTATGTTTTGAAAACAACAACATTGGAAAGAATCAATGACAACCGACCTTAGCTCAGTTGGTAGAGCGGAGGACTGTAGTGGGGGTAAAACCTATCAGATATCCTTAGGTCGCTGGTTCGAATCCGGCAGGTCGGATTTTGATTATTTTTTTGTCATATTTTTCTCCTTCTTCAATATAATTTTTATTCTAGAGAAGAGGGTATGATTTTTTTTTTATAATTTCTATTCTAGAGAAGAGGGTATTCATATAATATTTTCTCATCTGACAAGTGATGCATGGAAAAATTTTATTATCATTTTTCTTGGAAACATCACCCTATAAAAATATTTTCGTCTCAGTAGTGTGAGATTCCCTGCAAACTCCAATTTCTTAATCCAGGCAGAGGCTTAAAATCTCAGTAAGAAACCCACAGACACACCAACTAGTTTATATATACCAATGTACGAACCAACAAGCAATAAATTGTCACTAATGTCTTCATATACCAATCAGATATCAAATTTCAAGCTATGTTGCTCAGACTCCAAAAACATTGCTGCACCCGTGTTGGATACTTCAAAAATACACTAATTTTGGAGGATCCGACACGCACCTAGTTACATTTTCTGAAGAGTCCGAGCAACAAAGATTTCAAGAGTATTTACTACACCTCAACTTGATATAGTTGAAGTTGTAGATGGAAGACAAAATTCATTCTTGGAACTCTCTAAGTAAGACCAACTTACAATATCATCCAGATTCCAATATACAGGCAAGATCAAACAACAAACAAACAAATCAGGATTTTCATTCATGAATATAAGGAAGAAAACAACTATCCAATTGTCACAAATATCTTTGAATACAGATATTCAGATTTTCATATAGCAATAGAAGGAAGACAGCCATGATCCAACAATAACAAATCTTCTATTACACATTGATCAAACTCTTGAGACAGCATTGTCTGTGTATTTGAAAAAAGATGGTGAAGAAAAGAGTTGTAGCAAAGAGATAGGTAGACATCAAATCTAGAACTGAAAGCCTTAAGTAAATGAAATGCAGAATCATACAGAAAAACTATGGTGCAAAAGAACACCATGAGGTCAACAAGTATGAATAACAAAACCAGTTGAAACAACTAATAACATGCTTCGGACGAAAATCCAGAAACTCACCAAACATACATAAATAATCCAAAGTTTATATCCCTCAAATTCATTTTTTTGTGAAATGGTGGATGGAGAATATATACTCTTGGAATTTAATAAGATAGGTGGCCTCATAATATTATCACTAGGCAGGATTTATATGCAACCGACCTTAGCTCAGTTGGTAGAGCGGAGGACTGTAGTAGGTGTAAGCCTTTCAGATATCCTTAGGTCGCTGGTTCGAATCCGGCAGGTCGGATAAAATTGTTTTTTTCGATAGTTTTCTTTTGGCAACTTTCTGGGGGAGGGTAGTGTGCGCCCAGACCTTATCCCTACCTTTGAGAAGGTGGAGAGGTTGTTACTGAAAGACTAAGCCAAACAAATAATGAAAAAGAGGAAAAGCAACAAACAAAAACAACAAGGTAATCAAATATCAAACCAAACCAACAAGTAGTGATAGAAATCTAAAAGTAAGCAAATGAAACGAATATCACTGAACTCTGGGAAAAGGGAACGACTTCTAACTCACCTTATACCCTAATCTTCGACCTTCCGATGAGGTACACAAGCTTTTTTTATAATAGTAAGCATGAGACTGATTTACAATCCTCAGTTCTTCTATCTTGGTCAGAACTAAAAATTCATTGAAAACCTCAAAACCTTCAAGAATCCCACTTTCCCCTCCAAGCAAACAAAATAATCACCAATAAATTCAAGACACAAAACATAAACTTCCTCTGCTCTAAAACAAAAAAGATTCAATCTTTATACCTAATACTCAACCTGCACAAACACTAGTTAGATAGTCATGTAAAAGATTCAATCTTTATACCTAATACTCAACCTGCACAAACACTAGTTAGATAGTCATGTAAAAGATTCAATATTTATACCTAATACTCAACCTGCACAACACTAGTTAGATAGTCATGTAAACAGAAACAAATTCCAACATAAAAGAAAGGATATATAAGTGGGAAAACAAGACTTACATCAATAAAATCATTGAGAAAACAAGAAGGAAGATTCTTGATAGGCTTGTAAAAAGACAATTTCACCAACTCTCTCAACTTCTCAGGACTCTGCGGCAACAAAATTGAAACAGCCTCATCAACACTCTTCACTTGAAACATCCCATTCTCCATATCTTTTTCCTCAAAACAAACACCACAACACACAAGAACCAGTCTCTCCACTACCTCAGGAAACTGAACAGCCATACTATACCCCACAAAACCACCATAACTCAACCCTACAACAGCCATTTTCTTAACCCCATAACCCTCCATAGTCCTCATAACACACTCAGCCTGAAAAGATTCAGTTCTTTCTGGCCTAGAAGTGTAAGATTCACCAAAAAACAACAAGTCAGGGATATAAAGATTGAATCTTGATGATAAGGGTTTGATGAATTCACTCCATTGCCACATAGCATTAGCTCCAATCCCATGTATGAGGACTAAAGAGGGCTTTTTTTCTTTATGGGTTTTGGGTATCCAGCAGTGGATTATAGTACCATTACCTAAATCTGTGGTGGATGATTTTAAACCAGAATTTGAAAAAGAGTATTTGAGGAACCAGTTTCTTGATGCAGTGAAGCTGAAACAGTTGGACTTGGCCATATACTATTGGACACTATAGCTTATGAGCACCATTAACATATAAAGAATCAAAGAACCACTGAGATTTTGCTGGATTCCAATACCTTAATGGACAAAAGAAAGAATTGAGGGGAGAAAAACAGAAGTGTTTTTAAGGAATGTAAAAATTCTGATGTTTGTTTTTGTCAGAGTATGCTTTACTAGTTAATTTATTGATTTTTTTAGAGTATTTTGTGTATATAAATTCCTTTACTGTCACACACTATGTTTCAATTATTGATGTTTTGAGGGTCCCAACTCCCAATAGGTTAAAAAACAAAATAAAAATTAATTAGCCTTCTTTTGCTATATTTAGAGGTAGGGCGGTAATCGCGGATAGAATGATGATAAATATTAGAGAGAAGTATTGGAAATATTTTGAATTTAACGTAATTAATAGTTTTATCTTTGATATATTGACAGTCGTAAAATATTTTTACTTGGCTAATTAAATATAGATGTACGCTTATTTGCAATAGCAAACCTACCCTTGGTGAAGGGGTGTCGAGCGACACCCTTGGTGGGAATATTATGTTATATATAGTGGTTAAATTTTAGTTTAACAAATATAAATACATAAATTGATACGATTTAATCTATTGGTTAGGGGCTAGTAAAACATTCCATGAGATCATATGTTCAAGTCCTAACGTATATTGTCACGATATTTTAGTACTGATTAACATCTTTGCATACAAATTAATAAAAGTAATTGTATTTATGATGACTGAAAATTTGAACCATTCAAATTCAAACATCTATTAAGTGAAAAAAAAAATGAAAGCTTAATAAATATGAAGTGACTGATATAAGGGGAAAAGCTATTAAGTTAGAGTAAATAATGATAATTTGTTTAAATTATTTTTTAGATAATATCTTCTTTTAAGGGACTTGAAAAACTTATGATAAGTAAAATGAACATCCGAACATAGTTTTATTTAATACTCACTTTGTTTTTATTTGTTTTTTTAGCTTAAAAGAATTATTTCAAAGAATTGTTACTTTATAAATTCAAAAATAAAAACCGAAAGATATTTTCAATCATACTCTTAATACTAAAGACGTGATTCTTTTTAATACTAATTATTATCGAAACCATACTTGATAGGATAATTAATAAAAATACATTTTAATTTTTTTAATAAATAAGAATAAAATTAAAAAGTTATTTAAAATAGGACGGAAGGAGAAACACTTAATGATATGGAAAAAAAGATAAAAATTTAAAACTTGAAATAATTGGTGTGGAAATCATTGTTTATTTTGTGGAAAATAATTGCAATTTTTTGTCATTTGTCCCTATTGAAAATGATATTCCACCTAAACAATAAATGGAAAGAAATGAACCACGACAACTTTTCCAAAATGTACTTAAAGATAAAATGTTTTTTCAACAATTTTGTAAAAAAATTAAAATAAAGCAATGTACGTGTAATATTTTATATTTTGCTGTACATTTTTTAAAATTCCCTATTTTTATGGTTAGGATTAGAGGTGGATATGATATGATAAATAAAATTATAATATTACAAATCAAAATTTTAATATCGTGATTCTGTATTATAATATTTAATAGTATTTAATTTTATAAAAAGATATCGAATATTATATTGAAAATCTGAAGTATAGAGTTACATATACAATATATTATTGTGATACATTGATACTAAAATAAATATAGTATGATTTAGTATTAATACAAAAATATTTTTTGAATATTCTATCTTGATTTAAATGTCTTATTTATGTAATTACTTAGCTAAATAGCATTATGTTTGCTTTCTTTTGAGTGTTTATATACTTGTAAGGTGTTAATTTAATCTAATTGATACGTTTCTTAAAAAAATAACTATATGAATTTGTGTATATTGAAGTCAAAAAACCTATACAAATTATTGAAAGAAACTTTAAAATATCAATTTAATTTGAAATGATATTTTTATTTATAAAAAAATTAAAAAAAATCAATATAAGTATCATACAAAAAATTCAAAGATTACAAGGCAATGGATTTCACAATTTTCAGATTAATCATTAGGTTTTAACTATTAACAATTTTGATTAATTTCATCTCTTTCTGTAAAAAATAGAAAGAAGAGTTTTTTTTTTACATGTTAAATAAAATCGATGAACATTTAATTCCTTTTAGAAATCAAATTTTACTTGTACAAGGAATCCATATTCTTAAATTGTTTTTTTTTTTGTTTTTGGACAAAAAAAATTATTTTTATAGATAGAATCATTATATTATTTATGCAAAGTCTCTTCTTTGATTTAAATGTGTTTCAAAATCGAAATTTCATTAATCTCCAATCTAATATGTTTCTAAATCTTAAAATTCATTAATCTCTCAACCTTACTTTATGAGAAAACAGTGTTAATTAAATTAGACCTGAGTCATGACCTAGTTTAGAAGGTAAAAATTGAGAAAACATTGTTAACTAAATTCGACCCAACTCAGAAGGTAAAAGTTAAGAAAACAATGTTAATTAAATTCGATCTAACTCAAAAGGTAGAAATTTTATGGGTCTAGTGATACATACTATCCTAAATTTAAAAAGAACATATGCATAATTGGTATATAGCATAATTGACTCATTGATGGAGATAAACCTTAACCATTCAATTTATAAAATTAAGGATTAGTTCTTGATGGAGACAAACCTTACACATTCAATTTATAAGATTAAGGATTAGTTCTTAGTGGATAAAAGGTTAATTATGTGTCTTGAGATACAAGATTTTAGATGATATTGTAAAAACTTTATTTATTAATATAAATTTTTTAGTTATTTAATTCAGAATTCTATAATATTTATACAAAAGATAAAAAAAAAATTCTTTGAAATGTAATTAGGACGATGAAGAGGCAATTGCAAATATAGTTGCATTTACTCTTCTAGCTATGATGATGCAAAATATGTTCTTTATTAATACTAATAACTAATTATTTAATTTTTCTAAATAACAATAAATTATTATTTATCATGATTAATTCACGATTCTTTTAATATATATTTCATTGACCATTAATTCATTTTCTTTTATAAGTATCAGTATATCAATCAATCTTAAAGACTTTGTAGATGTCGTTAATAGTAGAATTGCATCGTAAATTGTAAAGTAAAAATTCTATCGGCAATATTTTTTGACGAAAAAGTACTCTTGATTCTATAAAAACAAATTCCAAGTTGATCAATTTCACAGGCTATGACCACCTCTTCGTTATCCTTAATAAACGATCTAATTATTTTTCTTATCACATATACTTATGTCTAGATAAATATTTATACTTTAAAGTTTCATAATATTAATATATTTTGTGTTAGATAATCTTTTTTTCTTACGATATTATAATGCTTCGCTATGAGAAATTTTAACACGTATGTGTGTTCCATTAATTATATCAATGCAATTACGTATGTGTGTTTCATTAATTATATCAATGCAATTCTAATATTACAATCATCAATAGAAATTCAAAAATAATCTTGACATTAGAATAAAATTTGAATTAAACTTATAATTGTATTCACCTTAAACTATGAATAAAATCTTTGGTTTCTATATATATATATATATATATATATATATATTATTTAGACGACATGGAAATATTGAATTTATGTACGTTAGTAATTTCATCTTTTTCAAATTGATATGTTAGTTTAAATTTTTTATGTGTTCATAAAATTTTAATTAACTCTATCTTTTAAAAATAATAATTTACGCGCCAAATGAAAACCACGACAATAAGAGTTCCTAATATATATATATATATATGTGTGTGTGTGTGTGAGAATCCTTTTAGAGATTAAATTTTGTTTGTATCATGTTTTAATTCTTTTTAAACAAAACTTTATTTTATAAATAGAATGATCACTACATTAATTAATGGGAAAATGCACAAGTACCCCCTCAACCTATGCCCGAAATTTCAAAGACACACTTATACTATACTAAGGTCCAATTACCCCCTGAACTTATTTTATAAGTAATTTTCTATCCCTTTTTAGCATACGTGGCACTAGTTTGAAAAAAAAGTCAACCATCGTTGGGCCCACAAGATAGTGCCACGTAGGTCGAAAAGGGGTAAAAAATTATTAATAAAATAAGTTTAAAGGGGTAATAGGACCTTAGTATAGTATAAGTGTGTCTCTGAGATTTCGGGCATAGGTTGAGGGGGTACTTGGGCATTATCCCTTAATTAATAATAAACCCTAATTCATCTTTTGTTCTTCGTGAAAGTCAATTTTTTGTTCTTCGTTAAAGCAGTAGATATTCAAGAGGAAGTACTTATTAGGCTGTTTGTAAAATTTATTTTTCGATTTAAATATATTTCGAAATCATGAAATTCATTAATCCTCGAAAAATGCTTATTAGCCAAATAGGTTATGATAAAGATCATCCTTTTACCTTCCATTCATCTTCATTGTCCTCAATTCAACTTGTTAATGATATACGACGACTCGATTGGCCTTTAAACTCTAAAACAACTCATGTTAGAGTTTGTTGTTGTTTCACGCTTAAATTATTGTGATAATCTATTACAAATTTTTACTATATAAAAATGAATTTAATATCACCCTGAGACATGTGTCACCACTCGCATATCATGTAGTGTATTACACTCGCTGCCACGTCATTACCACATCAATTTTTATAATTTCTTATATTCTTTTTATTTTGTTTTCTTTATTAATTAGTTTTTTTTTGTTAACTCTATTTTACACTAATTAATCTCTAATTAATTATTAAAATTCTCTAATAGTTATGTCTCCTTTATCACTAAATCTCACCCATTTAATCTCTAATCTCATCAAAAAAATCATTCATTTGAATTTATAAATTTCTTTGTCTTCTCCGGCGAATCAACTAACCGATCACCACCATAATAAGTCCACCTCCACATTTCCATTTGATCTTCTTTTTCGACAAACCATTAGCCGCCACACAACTATCACAAAACAACTTAAAATTCAAATCAATCACCAAGAAACACCAAACAGACCCCCTTACCTTATCCCTTTGCGATTTTATTCTTTAATTTTTTCTATGGTATGTCGGCAATCTCAAAGATTCAACCATGACTACCATGAAGTTTCAAAGAGCTCTACACTTTCAGATCTGAATAACTAACAAATAATCTGAACAATTAACAAATAATAACGATAAAAAAC